TCTAATGGTTGTTCTGGGTTTTTTGGGCTCTTTGGCCGTGTTCTGAAGGTTGTTCTTCGTAATGTTTCACCAGTCTCTGTGGCCGGCATCTTCAGAGGACAGCAACCAGATGCCAGCCACAGAGACTGGCGAAACGTTAGGAAGAACAACCTTCAGAACATGGCCAAAGAGCTCGAAAAACCTAGAACAACCAGTGGGTATTTTGTTTCCCTCATTCAAGGTAACGTAATGTTGGATCACTCTGCTCATCTTCCCCATCTACAGGACTACAGTAATGTTTTGCCTCCCTGTTTTTTTTAAATGACATGTTTTTATATTTTAAAATCCTGTATATGGTTTATATGTTTTAATATTTAATATGGTTCTTTCAATGTAATAATATTTGTAACTACGTTTCAATATTGTAAATTACCATGTTTTAGCTGTATCTGATTTTTAAAACAATTCTGTAAGACACCTTGGAAAGAGTTGGGATATACAGTAAATAAAATAAATATATAAAGATGAATCAATGCAATTGAAATCTGTAGCCATTCATCCTTTTGATAGTCATACAGTCTATCACTTACACATCACTGTTCCTTGATTATCTCCTCCTCCATTCCCAGGTCAATATATTACTGAAAGATGAGGGTATAAAATTTCTCATGCTCTTCTAGTCTCTCAGATTATTAATGAATGGTTTAACTAATTTTTCCCAAAGCCACACTAACATAGTTGTGGAGTGCTACTTCATCCATAGTCATAATTCCATTTAAGAAATAATTTTTCTGAGGATATCAAGGAAGCTGGTAATTTTATAATTCATTCCTTGGAAAGGATACAGTAACAGTCTTTCCTTTTTTTATCCTGTGCTAATTTGGGGATGTTGTATTCCCAAACCTTACTGAACACTGTGATATTTGTATGTGTGTTTTTTGTATGTTTTATTTAATACACTGCTCTTAAAGGTCTGGTGAAGAGTGTGCTTACTGCCTAATATACATATCTAATATATATTTTACATACTTCTTTCCCTCAGGCAGTTTCTTGACTGGCTCTTAAAGACAAGGGAAAGAAAATATTTTTAAAAAATTTTTATAACTGATTCAGTGCTTTTTTGCTGCCCTGATGGAGTCTATTAAAAAAAAAAACTTTGCCTGCCCCTTTGCAAAGGAGTAGAAAACGTGCCTAATTAGCCCATATTGCGAAGCAGCTCTCTTACTAAATCAGTTCATAGTATTGGTAAATGAAAAGAGGAAAGCTTTTGATTTGTTCCCAGAATTCACATGTGCTATGAATGAAAAGAGAGTGATCCTATCTGCACCAAAAGGTAGAAGCCCCTGATAGTGGCCAGAAGGTGAGAACAGGACTGCTCTAGAGGAGGTTTGCTCCAGCAAATATGTAATCTGATCACCATCTTTAGCAGTGAACCAAATAGTGGTTGGAATGCCCATGTAGTTAGCCTCCAACTCTACCAAATTAGTCCCATTGACTTTAAAGATTACTATATAGAACTGTATCCTAAACTTATATTTTGCCATCCTTTGGTCAGGGAGGTGATATCATAAGTTCTGCAATTTGTCTTCAAAACATTTCACAAGAAGCAGACAGGATTGCCATATACTCTAGAACAAACTATACTGCTTGCTTCTTTTAAATTGTTTCAAAATTAGTAATAGAGATGAAATTGGTTCAAAGTGAGAGATTTGTAGTTTCTGTTTCAAACGTAACATCTTTAAGTTTGCCAGGGAAAATCAAATGCCTACTAGATAAGCACAGATGAGGCAGGTAAATATAAACCTGTGCTGTGCTCCAGAACGGATTGATTGTTAAGCCCTTTTAATTCTCAAAGCAAGCTTCCATTACATGGCAGAAGTTGTCCTGATGGCTATTTTAGAGTACTGTATTTTTAATTGTATTTTAATTGTTTTATCTTTTTATCTTTTTATTGTACTGAAATTGTTGTAAGCCACCCAGAGACCTTTGGGTAGTGTAGGTAGCATATAAGTTAAATCCATCCATCCATCCATCAAAATTCTGGGGGGGGGGAGTTAATTGCAGGTTAAAGGAGTTACAAAACATCTCAGCAAGTTAGATAGCAAAACAAATGCACTCACTCAAACATTAAACATCATTATAAGTTTTATTTAGATCTGTCTGCAGACAGGTGAATATCAGCGTTCCAGGCAATGTTGAACTCCTTAATATCAAACTGTATATAAACGAATCCTATGGAGAAATTGCAACAATTCATAAAATAAACTTGCTTCAACTGGCTGTCCGGTGCAGTTTCTTATGCAGTCAAATAGGCTGCAGGTTTGTTGTTGTTTTGGTCATTTTTAAAATCCCACTTGTCTATAAGCACCAGAATTCACACTTGTGGACCAGGAGTGGGCAGAGGTAAGTTCTCCTTATTATTTATTGATATGTTCCACATATTTATCAGTAGGAACAAAAACCAGATATCCTTCCTCCTGCCCTGTACTGTACTGATGAAATGAAGAAAACTTATTGATACCAGGAAAGGATTGCTGTGGTAGTTCCATTATGCCTTGGCACTCAAAACAGCACATAATGCAAGTGAAACAGAACGTAGAGGCTGGTACTCAAAACAGATTCCTGGGCTGATTCCCAGTTCTTTAATTCTAAGTGTACACCCTCTATATGAAAGTGTATGTCTTTTGCATTAGGATGTGGTTACTGGATGTCAGATTTCTAATAAAAAACAAGTAAATCCTGCAGGCCTAAATCAACTTACATATTTTGCACATGAAACACATTTGGCAAAGCTTGTACACATTTTATGTTTTAATGCTATTGCTTTTATTTCTTTTTATTATAAGTTGCTTAGAATCCCATTCTTGGAATAGGAGCTGGATATAAATTCAGTCAGTCAATCAGTCAATAAAATCCTTAAGATCACACATCTTAATTTTAGGAAATGGGCATTTCTCTTGCATTATTCCAATCCATTCAACATTAATCTGGCTACTGTTTCTTTTCTTGAATATCTCACTATCTTTCACCCTCTTCTCTTGACTGGAGGCTTATTCATAGATAGATACATAAGGCAAGTTTAAACAGATTGCGCCAGCAACAAGTATGCATCTTTCTACCTCTTCACTCATGCGAAAAGCAGCTTTAATGGTTATATTTTAATAGCATTTCCCCTTATCTAAGCTATGGGAAAACGGACAGAGGTAGCTAAGCTAATGTTGTTTACTCTCTTTTTTCCTCTCTTTTTTCCTAAGAAGCCCAGTTAGGATTTGTTGGAAATCTATAAAGGATTGGAATGCACTCAATAATGGCAATGTTTTCTTCATAAAAATGCATTGAATAGCAAAACTTACTCAAAAATAGAAAGAAAGCCATGATCCACTCAGAGCTTTCATGGCAGGCTCCATTCTGCCACTCCTTCCCATTTGAGTGTCTGTTTAATGATCATAGCTGAATGACAGCTAGCCTCCACACTCCACAGATCAAATGAATAGTTCTTGCCTCTGACTTCCATCCTGCATTCCTATCCCTGTGGTTAGCATGAGCATGGACACTGCAGGCCAGAGAGAGCAGGCTGGGGCAGTCACCATCAAAAATGTTCTCGTCCCATTCTGAATTCCTTCAACAGATCTTCCAGGGATTCATTCTGGCAGAAATGGCAGCTGACCCTCTCATGTCTGCCTGATGTCTGTTTCTGTAGACAGCTTAATCTTCTTCAGGCTCTCCTTGACAAGGATGAACTCAGGCCGGACATCTTGCTCCCCTTTCAGGACCAGCTCTCGTTCATACTGCCAGAGAGAGAGAGAGAGAGGAGGCCAAGGGAAGTTCAACAGCTGTTCCTTCCTTTGAGCAGAAGTTCCACAAAAATATCCAGCCACCCTTCCCAATCACACTCTTATGGAGAAGCTGATTACTGTATATTGCAGTTTACACTCTAAAACATCGCTAACATTAATTATGATAACAGAGAGCTCCAAACATTTGGGGGAAGCATTACTTGCCATGAGTTAGATAAAAAATGCTTCTGTCCCATTCTCTATCATTTTTGGTTAAGTAGAGTTTACACATTTTTTAAACTGTATTAAACAAACCTTACAGTCTTACTTACAGGAAGCCTGAGATATAAACTTTACATTATGAGCAGTAGTCCTTTGTGGGACAACATTACAGTTTTATTCCATCCTTTATTATTTATACGAATAGTTGTCTTATATTTATTTTTGCTAAACTTTTCTGTTCCGCTTTCTTCTTTCATGGAGATACTCCATGGAGTTAGCAAAATAGAAAAGCAAATTTGAAAATAAAAACAACAATCCAATGATTAAAATTGTTAAACAAATAACAAAGAAATTGCCATACTGAAAATGGTATAGTAGATGAGAGCCAAGATAAAAATTTAAAGAGTGAAAGTAATGAGGTCTTCCTGGAAAAAAAAGAAAAAGGAAAAGAAAGTCTTCCAATAGTGGCAGAATATTCGCTATGTCAGTACAGATTACAGTCCATTTCTTCAAATACAAGAGTGGCATAATAAGTGTGTCTGAAGACATGTGAAGAGCTAACTTCTTCAGACACACAAAAAGTTATGCGCAAAGGACTGTAATCCATGAAAGCTTTTGGTTTAACAGTGCCATAAATTTTTTCTTTTTCTTTTATATTTTACTTATTTCCAGAAATTTTACATCTAGACATAATCAGCTCATTCATAAACCTGAACTCTGTAGTGGATCTTCATTTCTATTTTTCCCCCCAAGCTCCACTTTATGTTTTTCCTGTCAATATAATATTTCTTTATCCTTGATCTGGTTTTTCTCAATCTGTTGCAGTCCAAATATATTACATACAACTCCCATAACTCTGTTGGCCATGTCACCTGGGATGGGATTTGCAGTCCAACACAGCAAGAGGGCACCAGGTTAGAGAAAGGAAATACTCATACTAGAAATCCTTTATGTTTCTATTATGGTCTCTAAACTCCCCAGTGAAGCAATTAGATTACAGTCTCAGAAGTATCACTATAGTCCCTTTTACACTGTGATTGTGGCTATATCCACTTGCACTTCTCAAATGTAGGTAATGCTACCAGGGCTCTGTTTATCCATGCCTCCCTTTATTTATCTAATTAATTCAGTCTAGGTAATACAATGGCCCCATCACTACATAGTGCAAGTGCAATAGTAGAGAGGCTGACAGCTGAGGCCACATGCACAATCTATTGCCTGCAACACTATATTTATGTTCTGTTATTTTAAAAAGACCAGTAACATATTACATACAATGCCAGATGTTTAAATTGCCCTTAGGCTCTAGCTAGGTCTGAAAGAAGCTATATGGATGGGACAGCGACCCCAAAAAACAATCTGTACCATATTAGGAAATGAATAGGACTTTGTGAGGAAAAACCAGGAAGGATGTGGTAGAGGAGAGGTGTTTTGCTGGAACAAGAAAGCATGGCACAGACAGCTTTAATATGCTGGGACTTTGTTAGAGGGCAATACGTATGTAGAATGAGGTAGAGCTATGTTCTGAGATGGCAGACCCAATGTTGCTGCAACAGATCAGGAGAAACTAATTATGGAACAGACCTGGTCAAGTTTCTGCTGTCTTTTCCTCAGCTCTTCTTCCAGATCTGTCAAGGGCTTTTGGTTTTGTTCCTGCTGCTTCAGTTGCCTAATTCTCCTGGCTTCTAGCACTCTCTGAAGTTCAGGTTTATGTTCTGGAAGCAGCCCCCTGTGGAAAAGACAACCAGAAAAGAAGGGAAAGCTTGTGATGCTTTTCTTGTTTTTTTTTCCCCCTCCCCAAGCTTGCTGATTTTCTTTTCTTTAGAGTTTCACAGGTTTCATAAAACGCTAGGATTTTCCTGCCAAGAGACATTAAATACATTGGCTGAAATCCAGTAACATAAAGTTACACCACATAAGCCTGATGATGTCATCTGCCACAGCTGTATTTTAATAATAAAACATAGCCTGATGATGTCATCTGCCACAGCTGTATTTTAATAATAAAACATTTCCTACCCCCACTTCTCTCCCCTCCCCATAGAGCCTAGGTTACCTTACTTTGGAACAGTGGGATAGGAGAGGCTTAAATGGCCAAAAAAATCATTGCTGCTGGTTCTAGTAGCCATGTTACTGGATTTCAGCCATGTGTCTGAGCACTGAACTCATTTTAGTTGTTCTCCTTGGGATGGGCTGTGTGGCTTGATGGAGACTATATACACAGACTTATTTGGAAGTTGAGTCATGACTGAATAAGCTACTTGGATGAATAGTGAAATATTTCAACCTAACAAGAAAGAAGTCCAGTTGCCATGACTCAACTTCCAGATAACCTCACCTGAAATGACTGAGAAGATATACACAGATTTCTGTAGCTGGGTTCCTGCCCTCTTCCAAACCGCCCTTCACCCAGTGCCTCAGCAAGATGATGAACATTCCAGATAGTTAATCCTTTTCTGTTAAAACTACAGACCTCTCCATTTCTTTTCTGACTCAACAAAAATCTTACAGTACCACGCAAGCTGGAAGCTCCTGCAGGGCTGTGCGGACTGCCATTTTCTCAGAACAGCTGCTAGAACAGCAATTACAAACCAAATTGTATGAAAATTAGAATATAGTCTCTATTTTGTAGAGGTGTGTGTATGTATATATTTTTTAAAAAGCACATTTTCATTTCCATACAGTTGAGGTCCTGTGTTTTTAGTCTGGGATTTCTCCCCTCGTGGGCCCTCCTTTCTGATCTTGTATGTAGAATAAGAGTACCAACTCCCTTTAATACTCTGCCACTCGTTTTATCCACCTACCTCCTCTGAGTGAAAAGCAGCTCCCGGTGTAACTCCCGATGGTGCCTGGACTCCTTCACTGGGTTTGGCAGTTTCTTGGGCTCAATGAGACTTCTGTGGCTTTCAGATACCTGGTAGGTTCCACGCTCAAAGCTTCTGCTCTCTCCACCTGGAAGAGAATGATGTGATAACAGAGGCCTTCTATGGAAAAGTTCAGGGGCCAGTGTTTTGCAGCAGCTAGAAAATTCTTTAGAATTTCTCATTCTGTTTTCTTATGGCAGCAAATCTCCTCTGCAGTATTTCTCCATGGTCTTTAACTATTCCAGCAGGAAACTATGGAGAGCTTTTTAAATGTTTTTTTTAAAATAATGGCCTGTTTAGGCTTATTATTGAGCACCTTTCCCTCAATACATGTCCCGACTGAATTATTTCCTTGCGCGCAAGGCAACTGCTATGCAGAGGGGCCTCAAACTGTCTTCCTTTTTTAGCGGTTTAAGACCGTGTTTTCGTCCTAATTCAATCGCCTTGCCGGAGAGCCACGGATGTGCCATCAAGATCTTTGTTGTTAACTCACCTTCCATTAATTTATTATATAAATGCGCCCTCGTGTGGTGAACATATAAATTACAGGCACTGCCCTTGTGTACATACTCTACCTGGAAGCCATGATGACTTATATTTTACTATTATCAAGGCACATTTTTACAATAACCAGCCTCAGAAGTACTGCAACAGTTTTTATACTCCATTAAAAATGACCTCCAGCTGATGGCGAACAAGGACTGATATTTAGTCATTAACTCTGTTAAACTGCTCAGTAATAGACGTCTGGGTGTTGTGCACATGAAGAACGTGAGAACTGCTGGATAGCTCAGTGGCTTAGGCAGAGGTTGGGAGTCTCCACTGTGCCTCCTTGACAAGGGCTGGACTCAGTGATTCAGAGGGCGCCTTCCAGCTCCACAGTTCTCTGATTATTATATTATTATTATAAAATAACAAAACAATAATAAAGACACATAAGAGCAAGAAGAGCAGTTCCATATAATAAAACCAGCAGGGCTAAAACAGTGTAAAGTCCAAAAGAGTTACAAGCGGTTTCTAAAATGCCTGGAAACATTAAAAGGTTTTAACCTGGTGCCACAAGAGAGGTAGCAGGTGACTTTTCCAAGGAAGCCATTGCAAAGATAAGGTGCCATTGCTGAGAGAAGCAGCTTCTCTTTTATCATCTACTTTACATCATCGATGTAGGCACCAGAAGAAGGGCATGATAACCTGGAGGTCTGGTAGGTAAACTACTATCAAAGCAAAAGAACTAGCATGATGTGGGGGATAAAGAAAAGTGTCAAATCCCTTGTTAGCCAGGGGCTCAGTGGGTGGCCCTGAATCAAAGACAGTGTCTTGGCCTAACATCTCCCATATGCCTTGGCCTGGGGGGAAAGGGTATGATACAAAATATTACTAATAAAATAGAAAGAAGGGAAATAATTTGGCTGTGGAAGTCGTTGCCTGTTTGGTATAAGAGGCAAAGGAGGAAATAGGCTTGTTCAGGTCCCAGGTCTCAGGGCATCAGGTGAAGGCACAGGAAACTGCTGATCTTCTCCAGGTCTCCAGGCAAGGAAGCAAATCTCAGAATGAGCAGCACAGGAAGTAGAGACATTATGATTTCTGTATGTAACATGGCTTGAAAACCTTGGCACCCAGATCTACCCACTGACAGCTAGAGACAGGATTCCGTGTAAAGAGAGATGTATATTGCTCCAAATGGCACAGGAAATCACTATCTCTCTGCCCAGTCCTTCATTCCCTTGCTACTGGGGTTTTGACATATTGACAATGAATGCATTGGGCTCATTGTTTGTAGCAAGGCGAAGAGTAGAACATCAGCATCATAACTCATAAGCCTTTTTTGCACAAGCGTAGTGGCATAAAGCTTGGAACCCCTACCTCGCAACTGCAGCCTGACCTGTATCTGTGAAATGACAAGGACCCACTCCTGTGGCATCACAGGGACACACCTCCAGTCTATGGTTTTGGCTCTGAAATCTCAGGGAATGTGATGCTGCTTGCCTGGCAACTCAAGTTATATTCAAATATTGGAAAATATATTTTCAGACTACAGCTCCTTAGAATTCCACAGCTAGTATGGCTATTGAGTCTGCTGGCTATGCGGTTTGGGAAATTATAGTCCAGGACGGAAGGATGGAAGGAAGGAAGGAAGAACGAATGAATGAACGAACGAACAAATGAACAAAACCTGTCCCAACTTCGGTTATATTAGATACTCTTTATATGATTGTTATGATTTCATATTACATTTGGTGCAGTGTGTAAATGTGCTGCACATTCTTACCAAAGTTCTGGCTGCTCTTCTGAGTTCTATATCCACCCTAGAATAGAAAAGGCTAAAATTAGGGAAGACACAAACAGTTCAGGAAAGTAACAAATAAGCAATTATTGCACTTGCCCCTTTCACCAAATGATAAGAGATTCCAGGATTTCAGGATTTTTATTTGATTTGATTTTCTTTGGAAAGAAATCATTGGAAATGTGTGGCATTGTGAAACGTGAGTTAATTTACAGATATACATACTGAATATAAGTGGAGGCTACTGCCTAAACATTCTGCTCTCAGAAGCAAATCCACTTTCCAGAGAGAGGCAGTACTCATCACAGGCAAGAGATTGCTCTTTCTCTGCCATATGTCCGTCCTGAAAACTCCAACTGCTTTCTGGCTCAAAACAAATTTTGATTCCCCCCCTCCCAACATGTACACTTCCTGTAGCTTGTCCCGCACACCGCACTCCCCACCCATGGGAGATGGCAATTAAAGTTGAGTCACCTTTTAATCATAGAATGAGGGAAGGGGTCTATAAAGTCATTGAATATAACCCCCTGCTCAATGCAAGAATCAAAATCTGATTCCTGATATTTATTTATTATTATTTTTATTTATTTGATTTATATCCCGCCCGTCTGGTCTGGTCGACCACTCTGGATATCTGATGAGATGTTTGTCTAATTTTCTCTTGAATTCCTCCGGTGCTGAAGTGCTCACCACCTATTGAGGTAGTTGATTCCATTATTGAGATGCTCTAACAGTTAAGACGTTTTTCCTGATATTCAATCAAAATTGGCTTCCTGTACCTTCAGCCCATTATTACATGTCCTGCAGTCCTGGTTGATAGAGAGCAAATCCTGCCCTTCCTCTGTATGACTATCTTTCAAGTACAGTATTTGAAGAGCACTATCATATCTCTCCTTAGTCTTCTTTTCTAACTGTCTCCTAAATCTCTTGTGTCCATTGCCTATAGTTCCTTTAATGGAAGATACTTTAGCCTGCCAAACATGAAGTATGTTATGTGATATGTTGGCAACTCCTGAACATGCATATTTTTGCTCAGGTCTTTCTCAATATTTTGTGCTGAATCCTATGCATGCTGTTTACTGAAGAGTTTTGTTGCTCTTTTTCTTGGGGTGTTTGCAGGGGTGAGGAATGTATGGTCCTGCAGAAGTTGTTGGGCTGCAACCCCATCAGTCCTAGCCAGCATAGCTAGTGATAATGATGGGAAATGCAGTCCACAACATTCACAAGGCCACATGTTCTCCACCATTTATTCACAGCCCTCGTGCTTGTTCATTTTCACTAGTTAAAGATTATTTTAATGGGTTTAAGGCAGTTTATAAGTCTTTTGAATAAAACAAGGCAATAAAAAAACATAAAAATATAAATTAAAACATAAAACAAATCTACATGTTTAAAATAGGGGTTGTGTGGGGAATCTATTAATACAGTTCATTCTGTATTGTTCTTAATTGCTTATATGTAATCTTATGAGACCAGGAAGGCCAGGAATGAAAGAGCTAGAAAAAAATCATCAGGTGTCATTGGAGACCAGGACCAAGACCATCCGCATTTTTGTATTTCTGATCACCTGGTAGGTGAAAGCTGGAGAATTAAGAAAGCTGACAGGTCCAGCCAAGGCCATGGAATGGCACGGGCTGCGGACTGGGGGTTGGGGACCTCTGCTCTAAAGGAACCACAGATTTGAGTTTACAAGAGCTGAACAGGGCTGTTGAGAACAAGACATTTTGGAGACTGCTGAGTCATAGTGTCACCATAAGTCAGAAGTGTTATGCGAACATATGGCATGGCACACTGATGTCCTTTTTAAGGAGGCTTATATTGTTGTGTGCCATGAAGTCAGATTTAATTTATAGCAATCCTAATAGGGACTGCAAGGTATGTGAGATATTTAAGGAGTGTTTGTACGAATGCCCCCTACTGTGAGTTTCCATGGCCAAGTGGAGATTTGAACCAAGGCCTCCTATGTCCTAGTCTGTTACTCTGGCCGCTATATCACATTGGCGCTGCACTATACCACTCTGGCATAGATTAAACCAATAAGCAGAGATTAAGTATAAGGACAAGATTCTTGGTCCATTCTGAAATGCAGAAGTAGTAAACACATTACCACCCCATCGCTGGACTTCCAGTCCACCCCTGGCTGAATGGCCAATGGTGGTGGCCCTGCATCGGTGAGGAATGATAAAAGAAAATAGTCCATCCACATATGGGTGTGTGTGTGTGTGTGTCACACATTCCCCAGCCCTACTTTAATGAGCACAGCTCAGAGGTGCAGCACACTGGTCACTATGTGAAAGTTTTGTGAAACAATTTCCTTCAAACATTGAATTATTCAGCAATTTTATTGAAATGTTTTGAAATCAACAAATGAAAACAGGCAGATTAAAAAAAAAAACCTACCTAATTTATTTTAACCAGCAAAGCATATCCTGCAGTTTACCCTAATGAATCTAGAATGTCATTCAGTCATATGCCTGCCAGCCTGGTATTGAAAAGGATTCGGATCAGTGGTTCCCAACCTTGAGTAACCCAGCTGTTCTAGGATTGCAGTTCCCAGAAATCTCAACCAGCACAGCTGATGGTGAAGGCTTCTGGGAACTGTAGTCCAATAACACCTGGGTTACCCAAAGTTCAGAACCACTAATCCAGATGATACAGGCCCTGGAAGACACTCCCACCCATCCCAACACAGATCTTGTTTCCTTTGTAAACCAGCTTTTCTACAGCCCGGCAGCTAATAAGAAAACACAGATATTAGGCATAACTGACGTAGTCAACAACTTTGAAATAAATGTTATTTCTATTTCGTTCGGATCATGCACAAGATCATCTTGTGAGACCAGGTTGGGAACTACTGATCCATGATGCATCTATTCTGGATCCTTCTAGCTCTGTGTGCAGCCTTGAAAGATTAGATTTTCCATCTCTGAGCAGATTTCCCTTGTAATCCATTGCTGATTAGTCCATTATCTGGCAGGCTAAGGAGGCGTCCCTCATCTTATGTTTTCATCCAAGAAAACATAAGAAAATATTGTAATGTCATGGGAGCTGAGGCCAGCAAGCTGAGGCTGTACCCAGATATTAAATATATATTGAGGAGGATATAAGCATGTACTGTACTTGGAATGTGGTATCTCTTATGTGAGTAAATT